TCAGGGTTGACTCAGCCTTCCATCCTTCCGAGGTGGGTAAAATGAGGACCCAGATTGTTGGGGGCAATATGCTGACTCTCTGTAAACCGCTTAGAGAGGGCTGAAAGCCCTATGAAGCGGTATATAAGTCTACTGCTATTGCTATTAATGCACGCGGATTTTTTTTTTACTACCGAACCAGTAGTAATGGCGGCCGGAACCCACCCTGGTCTGAGAGCAAAGGAAGAAATGATAAGTTGTGTGTCCTAATTTCATGATGCAAGTGTGAAAGAGCAGGGTTTGCATTGTGAAGTCACCACACACACTCTGTCCATTTTTTGTCATGGTGGCCAACTATTCTGTTCTATGTACGTAACCCACTTGATCCCAGGAACAAAAGGAAGATCACAATCTAACAAACAAACTAATACAGCCAATTGGAAAGAAGATAAAACCAGAGGTTCATTGGTTAGATAAAAGCCATGATCAATGCATCAGCCTTCACATACACAAATTAAGTAATTTGTGCCAGGCATATTGCATAATCTGGATCATTTACATGATTATGTCCAGACATATGTTATTCCTCCCCCCACCCTCCCCGCCCCCAGATATCAGATAGCAATTTCATTAATGAATAGTGTTATATATTATCATTCTTCTCAGCTGAAATCTGGAAAACAATAGACACGTGGCCTGGACGACGTAGTGGAGACATGATTGTCATCACTGTCATTCTCTCTGCTCTCTGTGGAGTTGTCACCGTTGGCTTCTTGAGCACCGTCTGTTACGAATGGTAAGTACCCACACCTAGAACCTTGGTGCTGCAAATGACAGGTGATCATCCTCGCTTCAGCCAGAGAAAGATGAGGTGTTGGAGTCCTAAAACAGTAGACAAGGTTGAAGGGTGAAAACAATGCTGAAGACAGTTGCATAAATATAGTGGAAGCAAGGGAGGCCAACCAGCACTGGGAAGCCCAGAGAGCTCTTAACTTCTGGGTCATTCCTTCCTCCACATCAGGGGTATCAAACTCAAGGCCTGGGAACCAGATCTAGCCTGTGGGGTGCTTAGATCTGGTTCACGGGGCTGCCCTGCAAACAGTGAAGGACCGGCCTGCGGTGCCTCTGCCAATGAAAAATGGAGCTTGTGCAGGTCATGTGTGGCTCTCCTGAGCTCCTTTTATGCTGGCAGAGGGCAGTGGTGAGTTGCAGGCAGTATGTCCCAGTATGTGCATACCAGAGCCAGCCCGGAGCACCAGATACCGTTCCAGTACGTTGCTCCAGAGGGCCCACCCGCTCGCCCGAGCTCCTTACTGGATTTTAAAGGCTTTTGTGCTTCCGTGCAGGCACATGGCCCGTACAGCACCTGCACGATGCTCCGTGGAGCAGCTGAAGCATCGTGGAGTGTCACAGAGGCGCTTGAATGCATGCACACGCTGCGTGCGTCCATGAGGACGCTGCTGGCCCCGTTCCAACCATACCAGTTTGAATGGGATTTGAAACCCACCACTGGCAGAGAGTTGGAGGAGACCATTGCAGCTGAAAACAGAGCTCAGGAGCCCATTTTCACTGCCAGAGCACTTGAGCCGTCACAGGTGCCCCTGACATTAGTGACGTTGAGCTGGCCACACCCACCTGCCCTCTCCCTCCACCCTTGAGGTCAAATGCAACCGTGATGCAGCACTCAATGAAATCGAGTTTGGCACCTCTGCTCCAGAGGTGGGTTGCTCCCAGTTCGTCTCAGATCGGGTGAACCAGTAGTGGCGGTGGCGGGAGGCTCCACCCACCCACCCGAACACTTCTGCGCATGTGCGTGAACAAACCGGTAATTTAAAAAATGGAAACCCACCACTGTCCTGCTCCACACCTTTCATGTGGGATAGGTAACCTATCTGAGCTGCAGAGATCCAGCTGACCACCAGATGGTGGCAAAAACTCATCTGTATACAGAAAACTTTTGAATTTTCCAAGAAAGCCCAAAGATCATCTCTTTAAGGTACTGTATTTTTCGGAGTATAAGACACACCTTTTTTCCTCAAAAAAGAGGGTGAAAATCTGGGTGCATCTTATACACTGAATACAGCATTTTTGGCCTCCCAAAGCCCTTCACCAAAATGGCCATGCATAGCCTTTAGGAGGCTTCCATAGTGCTCCTGGGATCTGGGAAGGGAAGAAATGAGTGAAAAATGGGCCATTCTTTGCTTCTCCCCCCGCCAGCCCCCAGGATCACTCTACAAGCCTCCTAAAGGCTATGCATGGCCATTTTGGTGAAGGGCTTTGGGAGGCCAAAAATGCTGTATTCAGTGTATAAGATGCACCCAGATTTTCGCCCTCTTTTTTGAGGGAAAAAAGGTGTGTCTTATACTCCGAAAAATATGGTATACTCATATTCTGTACTGCAGGCCACTTCAGCTGACTGTTATCTGCAGTTCAGCGGTTCTAATCTCACCGGCTCAGGGTTGACTCA